GTGTTTTCCCGGACCCCCAAAGAAGTTTAGGCACTGAAAAGCCAGGTGGTTCTCAGAGCCCTCCTGGCTCCCTTGCACAGGCAGTTTTCTCATCTTCTGTATCCACGTGCTGTTCTTGATCGGGGTTCCTCTTCTATTCCTGGAGATGGCAGCTGGTCAGAGAATGCATCAGGGCAGCATTGGTGTATGGAAGGTCATCAGCCCCTGGATTGGTGGTGTGGGGTATACCAGCTTCATGGTGAGGAGTCCTGGGCTGCCCCGGCCTGCCCTTTACACCCCACTCGCACCCTGACCCTTGTCCTGGGATGGGTCCCATGACTTCACTTCCACAGGTCAAGTCTCTTCATTTCCCAGTCCTCTCTCTCTAATCCCCTCTTTTTTCCTGTTCTCATTCTTCCTCCCCAGCCACCTCCCTTGTGGCCCTCAGGTGTGCTTCATCACCAACTTATACTTGAATGTGGTCAATGCCTGGATCCTGTCCTACTTGGCCCAGTCCTTCCAGTTTCCAGGTCCATGGGAGAACTGTCCCTTATTGATGAACTCCAGTGAATTTGGTGAGGAAGAAGTGAGAGAGGAGGAGATGGGGAAAACAGCTGGAAGGGAATTTGGAAGAGGAGAAAGGAGTGAGGAGGGATAAAGAAGAGGAAAATCTTAGAAAGAAGAAGAAATGGGAGGGAGAAAGAGATGGAGGAAGTGGGAGAAAGGCTAAAGAAAAGGGAGGGATCACCCTATCTAGCAGGCATGTCCAAAGACAGGTCCCCCCAGATCCTGAAGGACAACACCTTCCATGTACTTCTGGTACCTGCTGACCTTGAAGGCCTCAGACAGAATTGAGGATGGTGGGTCACCAGTCTTCAGTCTGAAATTGTTCTTATTGGTGTCCTGGTATCTTGTTAGCGCTTTCATTATTAATGGGCTCAAGTTCTCTGGAAACATAAGCCACCATTGACGTTCTCGGATGCCTTAGACCTCATCTAATATTGTTATCACTGATCTCCTAATGTCTTGCTCCTTCTGGCCTTTTGTTCCCACCAGCCCTTGACCCTTGCTGAAAACTGTCTCCTCCTCACTTCTGACTCAGAACTTTTGATCCCTGTTGATTGTTGGTTGACCCCTCACTGGTACATGCTTGCTGATATGTCCCATTCTCAATTCAGGTAATGTATGTCTTGGTACCAGTCTCTTATTGCATCGTCCTCAGTTTCCTCATCTGTGTCTACTGCTCTAAGGGGCAGTATTTGGCCTTCAGTATTTGATGCTTTCCGAGGTAAAGTACATCTTTCTCACTCTGCTACCGGGCCTTGGCAGACTCCTATTGTCTATTTTTAGGGCATCCTTTCCCCCTTATTACCCCGTGTCCTTCCCCCCATACTTGCTAAGGTTCTCCTCTCCTTCTTTGACATTTCACCTTGTACTTGTCTTCCCCCTTTTAGATACCAACTATGTACAACATGGATGTATGGCATGAAGTAGGGAACCGGGTCTTGTTTGCCTTGTGTCTAGGCTTTGGCCTTGTCTCCTTATCCTCGCACATGTACCCATCCAGCAACTGTCTCATTGATGCCTTGGTCGTGACTCTGGTCAACCTGCTCAGCATGCTGCTGGTCACATCTTTTTACTTCTGTGTCCTGGGCTTTTGGGCCACAGTCATCACGCACCGCTGCAGTGAGAAGTAAGGCCAGCCCCTTAGTTGAGGGTGCCAGCGCCAGGGAACTACAAAACCTAAAGACCCTGACTTTCAACGTGCTACAGAGACTCCTGTCCACAGCTGGCAACATCAGGTGCACTTGCAAGTCTCTACTGTCCCGTGGAGCAAAACACAGAGACAGTAGAATCTCTGTCATATAATATTTTGCCCAGAGCCTCTTTCTGGCCCTAGAAATCTTCAAACTCAGAGATTGCCAGCCATCCACTTCAGAGTACCACCACAGAGATAGGCTAAAAGTGGCAAACATTCAAGATTACTCTGGTCTCAGATACCATCTAAGAGCACACCTCTATGGAGAACTTTCCACTTGCTGAATGTTTTCACTTTTAACTTTCAACTCCTAAGTTTAGGGATTTCTGTCAATCTGTCGCACTTAAACCCCAAAAGGACTCTCAGAACGAGATTTTTTATTGTCTGCTCACCCCTTGTTTTTCATTCTTTAGGCATTAGTTTCAAAAACACTCATCAGACATTTAGAAAGAACTCTTTGTGTACCACAGAGATGTGGACAGGTGAATCAGACCACAGTTCTTGCTTTCACTGAGTTTTCAGTTTTCAGAGGGAGGAGGTGGGGGAATTGCATAATCGGACAGTCACAGACTCATGATAACTAATAACAGGGGTGATGGGGAGTATAGAAGACAGAGCCTTTAATTCTGACTGGGCTAGTCAGAGAAGGACTCCTAGAGGAGGCAAACCTAAGCTGAATTTGTCCCTATCCTAATCCATGTAAATAAGCACTCTTTTCTTCTAGAATTAATCCAGGAATATTCATGTGCTTATGTGCAAGAGTCCTCTGGGGTGTATACTTAGGAATGGAATTGCTGGGTAGGGTGCCCACACCTTTAGTCTTACTGTGTGTTGTCTCATTACCAAAATGGCTTATGATGTGTGAGAATTCTGCATATCCCACTTTCTGCACGTTTGATTACACTTGGTCACACTTTAAAATTTTTGCCAGTCTGGTGGGAGTGTAATGGTATTTTTTAATGTTTAAAAAACATTTTATTATGAGGTATTACCTACATATAGAAACACACATAAAACAACATATGCAGAATAAATAACTATAAAATAAACAGCACCCATGTTAACAACTAGAATGACCCATAGAAGATCTCTGTGTATCTCTAATTATAAACTCTTTCCTCACACCCACTGTCCTGGCTTTTATGGTAATTAGTTCTTTGTTTTTTTTTTATATTTTATTATCTACGTATGCATATCTAAGTACAATATAGTTTAACGTGTCCATTTATATAGTTTAATTTGTTCATTTACATATACATTCTCTTTGTATTCTTTTGTGTTTTACTTCTTTCATTTCAATGTGTGTTCATAAGATTCATCCATATAGTCTGTGCTTTTAATGCTGTATAATGTTCCAGTATGTGAACATTCCACAATTTATTTATCCATTATACTATTGACCATTTAGAGTCTTTCCAGTTTTGGGCTATTAAAACAATGCTGTTCTAAACATTCTTACACGTGTTCCTGATGTACTACACATGTGCTTATGTGTGTAGGGTATATATCTATGAGTGAGATTGTTGATGACGAGTTCTATGTTACCGTGTGACAAATCACTCCGAAAGTAAATGGCTGAAACCAAGAATGATTTATTTTTTCTTAAGATTCTATGGGTTGGCTGGCAAGTTCTTCTATTGGGCTTGCATGGGTTAACTCGCATGTCTGCATTCAGCTGGGCCCAGCTGGGACTGCACCACTTTGCTGTGTGCGGTGTTGACAGGGCTCGCTTGAGCGCTCTGGTCAGCTGGTGGGTCCGCAAGGCCTGCTGTTTCCGGGAGGCCTCTCTGTGTGGCTAGCTTGGGCTTCCTCATATGACAGCTCACAGAGAACCTAGGTGGAATCAGCAAAGTGTCTTGAAGCCTAAGCATGGGAATACTCTCATTGTCGTTGCTGCTACATTTCTTTAGTCAAAGGAAGTCACAAAGCCACCCCAGATTTGAGGGGTGGAGAAACAGACTTTACCTCTTGATGGGAGGAACTGCAAAATACTATGGTCATGTTTCTACCCCACGTATAGCTTCAGTGGATAATGCCAGGTTACCTTCCACAGTATTTAGGATTGTAATGGTCTTTCCTTCCACAGTATTATTAGGATTGTAATGGTCTTTCTATCTCTTGTTGCTGGTCTCACTGTCATACACACACACACACACACACACACACACACACACACACACACACGCTTAATCTCCATGCTAGAATGCACAGCAAATAGTTACAGAATTGCTAGCTCATTCCATTGAGGAAACATACTAATCCCAGAGTTCACTATTTGTTGACAACTTTTTGTCTTTATCCTGAATTTTATAGTTAAAATGCTGTGTTCAAAATTACTTGGGTAAGGGGCGCCTGGGTGGCTCAGTTGGTTGAGCGGCCGACTTCAGCTCAGGTCATGATCTCGCGGTCCGTGAGTTCAAGCCCCACGTTGGGCTCTGTGCTGACAGCTCAGAGCCTGGAGCCTGTTTCAGATTCTGTGTCTCCCTCTCTCTCTGACCCTCCCCCGTTCATGCTCTGTCTCTCTCTGTCTCAAAAATAAATAAACGTTAAAAAAAATTTTTTTTTTAAATTACTTGGGTTAGTTCTTTTTCCTTCATTCAGTATGATTGTCACTTACTTGAAATACAGTTATGTTCATTTGTTTCTGTTTATATGGAATTTTAATGTCCCTCAAACTTTTATTTTAATGTGAAACATTAATATGGTTTCAAAAGAGAAAATTATACAAAGGGACACTCAGAAATTTCACCAGCACTTCAACCCATTTCTCATCCATCCCTTATAGGTAAACCGATCTCATTATGTTTTTATTTATCCTTCCTGTGTGTGTTTGTAAAAACAAAGAGAAAGATGTATATATTTTTATTTACCCTTCTTTTTATTTAAAAGGAAATTGTTTTGGGGCGCCTGGGTGGCTTGGTTGGTTAAGCGTCCGACTTGGGCTCAGGTCATGATCTCACGGTCCGTGAGTTCGAGCCCTGCGTCGGGCTTTGTGCTGACAGCTCAGAGCCTGGAGCCTGTTTCAGATTCTGTGTCTCCCTCTCTCTGCCCCTCCCCTGTTCATGCTCTGTCTCTCTCTGTCTCAAAAATAAATAAACGTTAAAAAAAAAAATTTAAAGGAAATTGTTTTAAATGTTTATTCTTAGAGAGAGAGAGAGAGAGAGAGAGAACGAATGGGTGGGGGCAGAGAGAGAGGGAGACACAGACTCGGAAGCAGGCTCCAGTCTCCGAGCTGTCAGCACAGAGCCTGATGCAGGACTCGAACTCACAACTGCGAGATCATGACCTGAGCCAAAGTCGGATGCTTAACCGACTGAGCCACCCAGGCCCCCCTTTTTACCCTTCTTTCTTATGCAGAAGTTAGTTTTTATCCTTTTTTCATTTAACACTATATCCTGGGAATCACTTTTCCATGTTAATTTTTTTCTTAGATGATCTAAGGCCTGGTGGTAGTGCCTGCCGTCCTGTAGATCAGTGGCTCCTCTATTCTTTAGAGTTCTCTTCACTCCTTAGTATGTAAGGCCTTGTTACAGTCAATAACTGGACACCATTAAAAGTCAAACCATTTTCTCTTTGAAAGATACCCGTGAAGATAATGAAAATGCATGTCCCAGTATTGGAGAAATTTATATGTTCTATACATTTATATTCAGAATATGTAAAGAACTCCTAAAACACACTAAGAGGACAACCCAACAAAAGTGTGCACTTAACTTTCTACAGTCTGTTTAGAATTAATACTTCAGGGGCATCTGGGGGGCTCAGTCAGTTAAGCATCTGACTTCCAACTCAGGTCATGATCTCACAGTTTGTGAGTTTGAGCCCCACACTGGGCTCTGCCACTGGCAGTGTGGATCCTGCTTGGGATTCTCTCTCCCTCTCTCTTTGCCCCTCTCCTACTCACACATTCACTCTCTCTCTCAAAATAAATGAATAAACTTTAAAAAAATGTACTGTTTGCTGTTGGGCTCCATTTCTGATGAGGAATTTGTAGTCTTTGAGATTGCTGTTGCTGAATATGTAGTGTATCATTTTTCTCTGCCTCTTTCAAGATTTTTTAATGTTTAGTTTTCAGTTTGATTTAAAAAATTTTTTTAATGTTTATTTTTGAGAGAGAGAGAGAGTGAGCTGGGGAGGGACAGAGAGAGAGGGAGACACAGCATCCGAAGCAGGCTCCAGGGTCCGAGCTGTCAGCACAAAGCTCGACGTGGGGCTCGAACCCGTGAACTGTGAGATCATGACCTGAGCTGAAATCGAGAGTCAGACACTTCACTGACTTGAGCCACCCTGTGCCCCAACAAGTGCCCTCCTTAATACCTATCACCCATCTAGCCCATCTGATAAAGAGTTAGTATCCAAAATCTATAAAGAACTTATCAAACTCAACACCCAAAAAACAAACAACCTAGTTAAATGGGCAGAAGACATGAATAGACACTTTTGCAAAGAAGACATCCAGATGGCTAACAGACACATGAAAAGATGCTCTTTTTCCTTTGAAATACTTCCAAGGTTGTCTTTTATTATTTAAGCACAGCAAATATAATCTTCAACAATTCTAATATTTGGAAGTAACTTTAGGTCAATTTTTAGTATGTTGTTTCTGATGGTTATTGCTCATGGTGTCTTCTTTTTGTGTACTTAATTGTCTCTTTGTCCTATTTATTTGACCATTATTTGTAGGAATTCTTAAGGCCTAGGATGAAGGTATATTCCTATAAATAGGACTTTTGTTTCTACCTGATGCATAGGGACATTAGAAAGAGACTACTTGAAACTCAGTTCTTGGCTTGAGTTCTTGAGACAACCAGGATCAAATATTTGGGCTGCACATCCAACCTAGGATTGACTTGGTTATGACATGTCAGGAACTTTATTTTTAAAAAAATTTTAATGTTTATTTATTTTTGAGATAGAGAGAATGAATGAGCTGGAGAGAATCTTCACAGACTCTGAAGCAGGCTCCAGGCTCCGAGATGTCAGCACAGAGCCCGACACAGGGGCTTGAACTCACAGACTATGAGATCATGACCTGAGCCAAAGTGGGACGCTTACATGACTGAGTCACCCCGGCGCCCCCCAGAGTTTTATTTATTTTTTTATTTTTTATTTTTTGGAGTTTTATTTTTTAATGTTTATTTATTTTGAGAGAGAGAGAGAAAGTAAGTGATTAGGGGAGGGGCAGAGAGAGAGGGAGAGAGAGAAAATCCCAAGCAGTCTCCATGCTGTCAGTGCAGAGGCTAACATGGGGCTCGAACCCATGAACTGTGAGACCATGACCTGAGCCAAAATCAAGAGTCGAGTGCTTAACCGACTGAGCCACTTAGGCACCCCATGTCAGCAACTTTAAAACATTTCCCTTTGTTCTGATCATTTCTGAAGCAGCCTTCTTTGGCATTCCCTGTCTTGTGGAAGGGTTGAGTGCAAGCTTCTGGTTCATTTTTTTTTTGTTTTTGTTTTTTTTGTTTTTTTTTTTTAATTTTTTTTTTCAACGTTTATTTATTTTTGGGACAGAGAGAGACAGAGCATGAACGGGGGAGGGGCAGAGAGAGAGGGAGACACAGAATCGGAAACAGGCTCCAGGCTCTGAGCCATCAGCCCAGAGCCTGACGCGGGGCTCGAACTCCCGGACCGCGAGATCGTGACCCGGCTGAAGTCGGACGCTTAACCGACTGCGCCACCCAGGCGCCCCGCTTCTGGTTCATTTTTATACTGAAGGTGTAGTAGCCCTTTGAATTGCGAGATTAGGGGAAGACCTTCTGGTCTGATTCTTACTTTGTGCAGGCTCTGGTGCTTTATATCTGACCCTCATTCTCCTTTTATTTCTTAAAAGTCATAAAATTGGAAACTAGGGGTATAGTGCTGTATTTGGCTTTTACCTTTGGGAACAAGTTGCTTTGGAAGTCCCCTTTCCCCACTGTTTTTGTGTGCACTTCAATTTTTGTATAATAATTTCTCATTTTTTTTTCTTTTTTTTTTTTTTATTTATATATGAAATTTATTGTCAAATTGGTTTCATACAACACCCAGTGCTCATCCCAAAAGGTGCCCTCCTCAGTACCCGTCACCCACCTTCTCCTCCCTCCCACCCAATTTCTCATTTTTTCAATATTTTAATTAAGAAGATTAAAAATATTTTTCAGACTTTTAACTTATTTACAGTGAGAAGGTTGATCCAAATATTTAGCTTGCCTATTACCAAAAGGACATACAGTATTTTGTTTTCTAAAATGTGATCAAACTATACTTAGTTCCCTGCACCTTGCATTTTGCTCTTAGCAGTAAGTTGTGTCAAGCCTTCTACTGCAGTTCGTGTAGAGCAATGAATTGGATTTTTAACGATCTGTAGGAATTGGTCAAGTGAAGAATGGTAGTGGGGTGAGGGTGGTCTTGGGCATGAAAGAGCATGGCCAGCCCTGAAATTGTAAGTAGTTAAGTGTGATTAGAGCATAAAATGTTCAGAGGATCATGGGAGGAAGATAAGGTAAATAGGTCAACAGGATTCAGATGAAAAAGTCCAAGCAGTTTCTCTCACTAGCTCACCTCCAGGGCAGCATTATGTACATGGTAATCTAAGTAAATGGTGCTTCCTGACATTCGGTAATGCAAAGCCTAGAAGATTGCCTTTTACCCACTAGTTAAGAAGAGAGCAAGGGAAGAGGTAGGTGGTGAATAAGACACCTGTCACTGCAGCAGATATCCCAGAGTTCCTGTGAAGATAATGCAAAACACTCCTCCTGGGCTTCCCCCATGGTCATAAGTTCTCCAGGCTCACATAAATTCATGATCCTGGAGGTGAGTGCCTTCTAGGTTTCGCCTCAGGCTCTACCGTGCCTGGATCAATAATGCTAGGTTAGTGGTGCCCTTCCTTATCTAGAAGATAAGGGAAAAGGAGGTGATCTCCTGAGGGGCCAAATGGTCCTGTGTGATTCAACTCCTTACCCCCAGGAATGCTGAAATGCTTGAGAAGCTGATAACCATAGGGAAATTCCCTCTTGAGGCCCAGCCCCCTTCCAATCGGGTTGATAGCCCTACTCTGCCTTGACTCCTGGCTGGACAGCCTTCTCCAGCACATCAAGAGCATTGTCCTCAGCCACTTGAGTGACTGCAACTTAGAGAAGCAGTTTTTGAAGGTCAGTAAAAGTAGGTGAGCAGGGCGTGGAGTTACTCAAAGCCTTTTGTGAAACAGAAATTTCAGCTTTTGCTAGCACCAGAAAAACATCCCAGAAGCACCAGGATAACCTGCAGCCCAGATGATGCAGAGAACTAGAACTTGCAGAATGCCCTCCACGGGTAATGCCAGGTAGACTGGTTTTCCATGTCAGAGGGTCAGCTTGGAGATCTGATTTTCTCAGCGACCCACAGCTTTTAGGGAGTTTTCCAGGGAAGGTAGATAGTATCCTTGTCTGTATTTTTTTGTTAAGTCCAAGGACACTTTAACTCCTACCCTCTCTCCCCTCAACAGGTTAAGGAGGGCCCAAGCCTTGCATTCATGGCCTTCGTTGAAACCATGTCATTCATTCCTGGGTCTGTCTGCTGGTCTATCCTCTTCCTGTTTTTGCTGACATTGGGGCTGAGCACCATGGTAGGGATCATGCAGGGCGTCCTAACCCTACTCCAGGACACCTTTTCTTCTTTCAGGAAATACACAAAACAGCCTACCGGTACTCTGACCAATGCCATACTCCTACCAATGGCCCTGATTTATCTGAGACTCTTACCCAGCTCAGGTCTATAACCTATGCTTAGCCCTTGTCACCCAACTAGACTTCTGACCTTGATCCCATCCAGTGTTCCCTCCAGTGGTTGTCTTTGGGCTCATGTTCCTGTGTGGCTTCTTCTTCACTCGACCTTCAGGCATCTACTTCATCAGCCTGCTGAATGAATACTGAACAGTCCTCCCCATCATCATCATCATCATCATATTTTTTTTTTTAATTTTTTTTTTCAACGTTTATTTATTTTTGGGACAGAGAGAGACAGAGCATGAACGGGGGAGGGGCAGAGAGAGAGGGAGACACAGAATCGGAAACAGGCTCCAGGCTCTGAGCCATCAGCCCAGAGCCTGACGCGGGGCTGGAACTCACGGACCGCGAGATCGTGACCTGGCTGAAGTCGGACGCTTAACCGACTGCGCCAGGCGCCCCTGATTTTTATTCGTTCATCTGGTTACTGCCTATCACCAGCAATAGAATATAAATTCCTTGAGGACAGGGATGCTTGTTTTATTCAATAACCTTGGTGATTAAAACAGTGCTTGGCACATATTAAGCACTCAAGAAATATGTTAAATGAATGAATAAACATGTTTCTCCGAAGGCCCTGAGGTTAAGAGTCCCTGCATCACTCTAGCTGGGTGACAAAAGAAGCAACCAGAAAGGGGTCAACCTTCCCTATAGACCCAAGCTATCACCTCCTGGCCCCACAGGCCCAGCCCACAGCCATGTTTTCAAATATGATGATGATGGGGGCGCCTGGGTGGCGCAGTCGGTTAAGCGTCCGACTTCAGCCAGGTCACGATCTCGCGGTCTGGGAGTTCTAGCCCCGCGTCAGGCTCTGGGCTGATGGCTCAGAGCCTGGAGCCTGTTTCCGATTCTGTGTCTCCCTCTCTCTCTGCCCCTCCCCCGTTCATGCTCTGTCTCTCTCTGTCCCAAAAATAAATAAACGTTGAAAAAAAAATTTTTTTTAAATGTCAGGTGGTGACAATTGACAGGAGAAAATCAAAAGGTAAAGTAAAATGATCAAGAATGGGAGTATGTGTGGGTGCTAATTTAGGTTGGATTGCAGGGAAGGCCTCTCTGATAAGGTGACATTTGAGCAGACTCCTGAAGGAAGTGAAGGAAGGAGCCATGATTTTGAGGAAGTGTTCCAAGTAGAGGAAACACTGAGTACCAAGGCAAGAGGAAGCATCATGCCTGGAATTTTTGAGGAGCAAGGAGATCGGAGAGGTTGGAGTAGAATGTTCCAGAGAGATAACAGGAGATCAAGGAAGACCTTCTAAGCTATAGCAGTACTTAGTTTTTTTCTGCAGCACGAGAGGAGGCATTGGAAGGTTTTGAGCAGGGGAGTGACATCGTCAGATTTATTTAAAAAAATACCTATGACTGCTGTGTGGAGAATAGACTATGAGGAGTCAGGAGTGAAGCAAGGAGAACAGTTGGGTGCTATTGCAATATTCCAAAGAAAAGACAAAGAGAAGGGCCTTCGTGGCCAAAAGACCCCACTTGGATATTTATTGCAATTGAGAACATGCAATAAAGGAGTTGGATACATGGGCTTGAAGAAACTAAGAAAAGTTCCCCCCGAGGGTCAAGTGTTGCTGCCTTTTCCAGTCTGAGCTGGTTAGTATGGATACCCAGCATGTAGAAGAGTCCCTCACACATCATAAACATTTTCATATTCATGGAATGAATGAAAGGGACTTGGCCTTTATCCCAAGGGCATTAGGTACCCATGAACAATTTTGAGCAGTAGAGAAATGTTTGAAAATTTTTCTTGGGTCGCGATGCAAGACTGACTAGGGAGAAGACAAGAGAGGATGAGTCTTGAGCTGAGGCAGAGTTTGGGAGATGAAGTAGAATATTTGAAAGATGCTAAGGTTGGGCTGCCCTCCACCCCCAAGGCTGGGTGAGGCCTGACTAGGCCTTCCACAGTCTTGTGGCCCTTCCTCCCAGGTTCCTTGAAGACTTTGCGATCATGTGGGGACCCCTCATCTCTCTCATCCATTGGCTGTGGTGCTTTCCCTGTCCCATTGTGCTGCTAGCCCTGTTTGTGATTACTCTGATTCATCTGTCTCTGAAGACTATCACCTATGTGGCCTGGGACTCAGTGTGAGCTTCTTTCCCTAGACACTAGACCTTGCTAGAGAGTGGGGGCCAGATCTTTCAATCCACTCATGGCCTAAAGATGCTATCGTCTCATTCTCTGACTCCCTGAAGACTCATTGGTCATCTGCCCTGGTTCCTATCCCACCCTTCCCTTCTACAGTCCTCACTTTTCTGGGAACTTTGATGTTCTGAACCCCTTTCCCATCTTTCCACAGTCAAAAGAGGTGCTTCACCAATACCCATCATTGGGGCTTCTTGCAACAATTGCCCTTTTTCTCACTGTTATCCTCCCCATCCACACATATTTTGCATACTGCCTCACCCACAGGATTCCCTTCAATCCCACAAGCCAGGGTAAGCCTATGGTATCTTCCAAATCCTTACCCTTCATCCAGCCAATGCCCGTTAAAGAGGTCCAAAAGTAGGAAATCCTGTGAGGTGATAATCAAGTTGCTGATCAACCTGTTGTATGATTGCCTAACTTCATTCATTTGACTTGACATCACACATTCCTGGAAATAGCATAAGAGGCAGCTCATACCAACTTGCAACTGTTGATGTCCCCAGACACAGAACTGCTATTATTCCCAAAAGTAGAGGCATAATTTGGTGGACACATGGGGCCTGACTTTGCATCCCCCTCTCAGACCCCATCCTTCCTGGTTACCACTGTCACTGTGTTTTCCCCATCCCCTTCCTCAGTATATACACACGCCCATGATATTCACTATTTGTCATGTCTACCAAATCTGCTTCTTGACTGATCTGTCCAGCTCCTGGAAGGAAACTGGAGGAGTAATGTTGTTGGTCAATAGATCAGTCCACCAGGACTAAGTCCTGGGTGTCAGCGATTTTTTTTTTCTATAAATGTCTTTTTCCCAAAAGTCTTCCATTCTTTTGAGAGCCAAATGTCCAGCCTAGAGTTCCTGCCCTATCCTTGTCATGGCAAATTCAGATCTAGATTACTAGACTTGCTTTGTCTAGGGATTGGCCTTTAGCCAAGGGAAACGTGGGAAATGGGGTTTCAGCTAAGATGGAAAGGATATTAATCACTTGCCAATGGGACATGGTAATCATATATGAGTCTAAAAATTTTATTTTTATTTTTTTAAGTTTATTATTTTGAGAGAGAGAGACAGAGTGGGGGAGGGACAGAGAGAGAGAGGGATAGAGAAGATCTCAAGCACTCTCTGCACTGTCAGCACAGAGCCTGATGCAGGACTTGAACTCATGAGCTACCAGATCATGACCTGAGCGGAAACCAAGAGCTGGACACTTAACCGACTGAGCCACCCATGCACCCCTAAAAATTATTTTTAAAAAGAGGCTCCAAGACTGTGAATCAACACAAGTGGTTTAGGGAACTACCTATTGCTGAGCCCACTAGGGCCCCATATCTGCGTGGTAGGAGACCTGGCAGGTTTTACTACAGGGCTAAGTCAAATGAATTTGCCTAGTGGGTGATGACGAGTGGGTCTCTCAACTTCCGGAGGGGTGAGTCCACAACTGAGCTGACGTACTTACCAAAAGGAGATAGGGGTCAGTCAGCGACTAGGATTGGGAGCTGTGGGTAGAGGTGGTTGGGATTCCCGAAGATCCAGGGAATGGGTTTCCCTTAAGTACTCAGAGATCTCAGTATTTCGGATTGCTCAGCTACCACAGGGTAGTTGCCTCTACCTAACTCCGTGATTAAGGAAGAAAAAGCAGACATCCCAACCATTGGCGGGTGGGACTCGAGGGGTGGGCCTGGTAAACAGGAAGAGGTGTGGTCCCGGAAGTCTCTGGACCTCCGGTGTTTCTCGCTGGTCAAGCTTGGAAGATCGGGGTCATCACCCGTTGGCTCCTGTACCTTGTAGCCCCGCCCCTCACTTTCCTTCGCCACACCCCCCACCCCCATCCAAACGATCTGTGTGCTGGAAGCGGTGCTATTGAGTTGGGTAAGGCGAAAATCAGCGGAGGCAGTCGTCTTCTCATGATCAAATAGTCTTGAGTTTTAAACCGCCTTCCTTTTGGGAACGCAGGTGTTCATCCTCCCTTCTGCCTCCCCATCCAGTTCTCAGCTTTGGGAATGGAACCTGCGTGGGGGAGGGGATTGAAAAGTAGGGGCCTACCGGATAAACGGATAGGGGTGGAATGAGGATCTTGGGGTGTCTCCTCCCATTCTCAATTTTTATATTCTCCAGCTACTTGTTGAATGTCCTTTGGTACCTAACTGCAAGGTGGTTTGCAATGCGAATATCTCACACTGCTGTAAGGGCTCCTGATTAGAGATAGACCAATTTCTATCATAGACTCCTCTCTACTAGATAGCTCTAGGGATCCTACTGTCGAAAGTCGAGTTTCGTAGCACCCTTGCGTGTGATGAGCAGTTTCTTCAGCACTGCTCTTGGGAATCTCCGGCCTCATTAGACAAAAATGGAGCCCCGTCCCTTGGTACGGTACCTTATATGAGAATGGTATGAGACACAGCTATGGTCATCCTTAATTTTCATCAGGAGACCCAGAAGAAAGAGGGGTTTACACGGTGAGTCAGGGTAGCCTGATACAGATTCTTGCTGTGGCTTCTGGCCCTTCTATTTCGGAAATGTTCAAACATATGTAAAAGAATAACTTAATGAATTCCTTTGTACTCATCACCCATCTCGTGACCAACTGGCGACCAGTCTGGTTTCAACTTACCTCCTCCCACTGAAAGCCTCCCCATTATTTTGAAGCAGATCCCAAATTTATCATTTCATCTGTAGGTATGTCCATAAATATCTGTAAAACATAAGAACCCTTTAAAAACAAAACCTGACAAGGGGCATCTGTCAGTTGAGCGTCTTACTTCAGCTCAGGTCCTGATCTCCTGGTTTGTGAGTTCCAGCCCCATATAGGGCTTTCTGCTGTCTGTGGGGAGCTCGCTTCCGAACCTCTCTCCCCCTCTCTCTGCCCTTCCCCTGCTTACTCTCTCTCAAAAATAAAAAATAAACATTTAAAAAATCCCCACAAACACCTGACAAAACTATTATCACACATAAAATAAATAACAGTACTTTTTAATACCATCAAATATCCAGTCAGTAGTTAGATTTTCCTGGTTGTCTCATATATATATGTATATACGTGTATATGCATATGTATATATATGTATATGTATATGTATATACATATATATACATATGCATATACACATATATACATGTATGCATATATATGCATATATATACATATATATATACATATATATACATATTTTTTTTTTCTGGTAGCTTTATCCTTTTTTTTTT